GGGGGGGGGGGGGGGGGGGGGGGGGGTCACAGCACAGGGTTAGCCAACATGCAGCTACCCTGGAGTTTAAGGGCCTTGCTCAAGGGCCAACGGACAGGTGACTTCTGCCGAAGGCTGGGCTCAAACCAGCGCTCCTCTGATCACAGGCACGGAGACTCGGCCTGCTGAGCCACTCAGAGGGTTGATGTGCTGCTCTGACTCACACCAGCAATCCTCCAATGTTATCTGAACTCTGCACAGCTGTAAACAGATAAGCCTCCATTAAGAGGTTTATGTCCTCTCACCGCAGCCCGCACACTGCAAGATGGGAGGACAGATCCAGTCTGGCAAGCCTGGAGCATGATTCTGACCTGGTTCTGCTCTGTCCCTGGTGCCCTGGGGGGTGTGTTCTAAGCCTGGTTGTTGCAGGGGGGCAGTGATTTTTCTGCATCCCCACATAATGCCCCTGATCTAATGCCTCCAGTGTAGATTCTGCGATGTGGAACATGTCAGCCACCTGTAAGAACAAGTGCTGTAAGAATCCAGCTTTCACACACCAGCCTGAACATCTCATTCCTAATGCTGTGTCACTCCCACACACGCCGGCAGAACACATCAGCGCCCCTTCTGAAACATAATCGCCCATCTGGGGAGGGGGAGCTGGCTCCGTTAAGGGCTGTGGATGACCCGCAGGTTCATCTCCATGACAACAGAAACTTATACCCCCCCCCCCCCCCCCCTCCAGAATGCTGAAATACGGCCCCCAGATCAGAGCAACATAAAACCACTGATGAAAGACTGAATGACAATGAGATGCACAGGCAGCTCCAATGTATCCAAGGACCTGCTTTTCTGTCATCTTGGATATAAGCTTCGCATTTAAATGTTATGCAGATGCTGCGTTGACATTTTGCCTACTCCTATTATGGAAAACCTCCAACTACGACACTTTCTCACTATTCTGCACACTAAGAAACTAAAACACGCTTTTGCAAACAGTTGGTTAGACTATTATAATATTCCATTATCTAGATGCGCACAGCACACAAACACCTTACAGCATACTCAAAATGCAACGGCTAGAATTGTCACCAGGAACGAAAAAGATTGAACATTTAATCCCTATTCTAAGTTCCCTTCACTGGCTTCCTGTTAAGTTCAGGACTGACTACAAAGTTCTGCTACTTACATATAAGGCACTCGATGGTCAAACACCTACTTGCCTAACAGAGCTGATCCATGTTTACAAGTCACATCGCACACTGAAATCACAGAGACTCTGTCTCCTTCTCACCCTATAGTTGGGGTAAAGCCTTCAGCAACAGCGTCTCGCATTTTGTGGAACAGTCTGTCAGCTCATGTTTAGCACGCCCAATCGGCCTCAGTTTTTAAATCTTGACTCCAGAGCTATTACTTTACTCCTGTTTACACGTAGCTTAAACCATGAAACACTGTAGCTACGGCTGCTGGTGCTGCCATTATGGTCTGCTCTCTGTCCATAAATGTGTCTTTGCCCGTTCTGACCACCTATGTCCTTCATGTTCCTCCTCACATGTCTGAATGGTGCCTGAGGTGGGCAATGTCTGAGCTGGAGTGCTAGCCCATTCCCCCAGAAGTGGGGTGTGGCCATTGTGGCCGTGGTAATCATGGGTGTGGCCATATCCGCTTACACACACTATTTTGTGTAAATGATGAAGTCATTTATTGCCACACACTCTTGTTACGTGCCTCAGAACACTATATAAAAAAATTGAGTTGAATGGCGAATAAAACCCACCAGTGAAGCCACAGGTCACTTGTCTAATAGTTTAAATGGCTCGGATTGTATTTCAGATTTTTCATTACTGCACCACCAGTTCCCCGTGTTCTGTATTATTAAATAAATGAGCCTCTTACCATCACAGACACGGTGACTCACGGTTAAATATGGGACCCCATTATTTGAATTCTTACTGCTTCAGACATTACATATCTCTGCAGTGGCAGAGCTCATTATGAGGCTGTTGGATACTGTTAAGCGAGGGATGTTTGCCCTATGGCATCCACTACATTTTCCCGACTGTGGCCAGCAGGTGGCAGCAGATTCCACATCGAGCACCAAGTACAACTGGCACGTAGCAGAGATGCAGCAGTCAGAATGAGTCACAGTGTTCAGCACAGACCAAATTTGGCCTTTTCCAAACAGGGGAGTCTCCTCTCTCTTCAGAAAAAAACTCGGAACGGTACACAGCTCCACACACAACAGCGTCAGCCTGTATGTCCTGTCGACAGTTTGCACGCCTCGCTCAAGTGCCCAGACCATAGCTGACAGTGACTCCGTTGTATAATTTAGGCCAAAACTGCCCTCCTTATTTCTGACTCACATTCCTCTCAGCAGTCATTCCCTACAACTCTTCGTTTTTCCAGCCAAACACAGATCACCATAATAAACAGATGAGTCTTTGCAATATATTTGGACAGAGCTTCAGATAGCACAGAGATCATGTCTCCAGTGATGTGAGAGGCTCTAAAGGGGCAGCAGGAAAAACAGGGGAATGTCCAGCATATCTCAGCATGTCCCAGAATATTCATCTTACTGGGCTGCTGTTTGAGAAGATAAGGACCTGAGCCACTGTGGAATGCAGTTATGGGGAGAACCTTCTCCAGCTGGAGGCAGCCCAGAGTCCCAACCACATGCGTAAGGCCAGCCTCTCTGAAATCACGCCAAAAGAGATGTCGTTTGGAGACGCAGCTGTTAAACAGATTTCCCCTCATGCTGATTTTTCGAGAAATCTAGAGCGACTCCCAGAACACCGCAGACGCTCACATCCACACCACAACCACGAGCTTCACAAGTCAGACTTGGACAACTTGTGAATGCTGGGAAGAATATCCTGGCTCAAAGGCTGCTTGGCATTGGTCAGTCATCACGATACCAGTAACTGTGTGCTGCTGTGGCAGTAATGGATGCCCTTTTGCTTGTGGGAGCTTTATTTACACGAAAGTGCTCTGAGGGCAGAAGGAAAAATGATTGGTTCAGAGAGATAACCAATCAGATTATAGAGGAGGGAGGTCCAAGCAACTAGTGGAGGCAGGACCAAGATATCTGATTGGTTGATCCCACCTCCTCTAGTTGCTTAGACCCACTTCCTCTACAATCTGATTGATTATCACTCTGAACCATAAATTTTTCCTTCTGCCCTCAGAACATTTTTGTGCAAGTAAAACTCCCATGAGCCTGCCCCCTTCCCAGAAAACACTCTACAGCGCCCCCTATGACCAGATGGGTTCAACCAGGTCATCTCCATAAAGCAATCAGTGGTGTACAACCAGCAAAACTACAATGCTTTTAGCACCATGGACCCTAGTTCTGGCACACTGCGTGCAGGTAGCCCTACTGGTTTGGAAGTGCTAACAGAAGGAGCTGTGCAAGAAACACTACAGCCAAGAGTCCACTATAAGATCTTGCCAGTAAGAAAGGAGCAAAACAAAGAAAGTATATGCAAACGTGATGAGAAACAAATCTCGCTGCAAAAGTGTGAATTACAGCTGCAATGAAGGCTCCACCAGAGAAGGCACCTCACATTGGCTGCAAAGGGACATCAGACAACAGACAAACGCTGGTTTTGTTAAAGAACAGACCCTCCCTACATCTGGCAGTGGCATGCAAATGACAGAAAGACCAGGAGGGCGGATATGGGTCAGACATGAGGCCAGCGTGATGGTCACATGATCTCCCTCTCCCTTCTCGCCCCACACGCAGACAAGAGGCCCTCAGCCGTGCCGGTCAGATGACGGGGAAGCGATCAACACTGTAAGCCTCTGTCTGCTGGCGAACACATCAAACAGGAGCTGCTCCCCCATACTGCTGTTCGACGTCCTTTTCTACCCACTACCCCGGGAAGTACTGTCAAGGTCCACACCAAACTGCCAGCACCGCCACCCCCCACCCCAGGCCCCGACTGTGCCTCATCCGCATCCCCACTCCATCCGGCCTGCGACCGCTCTCTCTCTCGCTGTTTGCTCGCCAGTTCTCCCAGAGGACGCTGTTATGACGTGTTTACGGGTCGCCATGCCACTTTTGTTTACTAACAACTGAAAACAAGCCGCAGAGGCTGGAAACGGCTCCCGGTCGGTTCTCGCGGCAAACTGGAGGCGTAATCGGGCCCCGGCACCACCCGCCCCCGATGTCCGGGAGGGCTGCCCAGAAGAGCCGGGGTGGGGAAATTGGCACGACCTCCCTCCGCCCGCCCATGGGGAGGAACAGAAAAGCGCCTTTATTCTGTGACCAGCTGTGAGTCCCTGTCCACATGGCCTGTCCTTCTCCACGTAAATGTCAAACAAAGCTAAGAGTATCCTTTCCTGTCACCGCGATCATACCGTGCGTCTCAATAACTCTCAGACACGCAGTGAGGAGCCCTTCAGTTTGACCAGAGGGATGCGGGCGAGTAGCAGGCTGCAGACCCACAACTGAGGCGCTTACCTGACACTAGACCTCACCTGATAGGTCACCTTTGTGAGTGAGGACACAGCAAGGGGCGGAGCTTTCCCGGTAACCTCCTGCCGACACGGGCAAAGTCCAGAGTAATTCTACAGCTCCTTATCTGGACAAACATGGCAGACCCGTCTCCGGGACACGGGCACTGCCAGTGCATTGCCCTTCTCTCAGTGCCCTGATGCTTGGTTCCTTAAAGCAAACACAATGAGCACGAGGTAAGGGGCGGTGCGTTAAAACTCTCCCCAACGTTCCAGTCAATAAACAGCTGACTTATCAATGTTGGCAAGCAGGCCAAGGTCAGTCTGCCCCCCGGAAATAAGACGAGGATTCCCTTCACGTCACGTCTGTCTGAATGAACCTATCAGAAGCCGATGCCAACATCCACAGCGTGGAGCCTTACAAACCTCTGATGCCACCTTGACTGTTTTCTGTCACGTGCACCAAGCCCATGCTATATTACACCACCTCTACATTATGTTATCAGATTACATTTTTACTCCCTCTACACTGAACTCCTCGAAACCTCCACACAGCACAGTGGGAGCTCGAAGAAGCTTCCCCCGAAAATGCACTTGGTGCAGGTAGCAGCATGAGGTTCAGAGTGGGCGTTTGGGAGATGATGATTTGAACAGGTGTCCTGACAAAACAGGTAAGAAACGTGGACTGAGGAGCAATAACACAGTAGAAGGCGGATGGAGGGTGACCTTTCAAATGGTGCCCTGAATCTAGCAGGGTATCCATGCCCCCTCAAATGAATTTTCAGTTTACAGGGTGCTTCAGGAAAGCTCATTAATATTCATGAGAGAGGCTACTGATTGGCCAGTGAATACCTTAGACAGAATGCCTAAGAAACCATGTTAATCGCACATGTCTATGGGAGCACGTTTACCTGCCAATCAGGTAGTTTCTCTCATGAATATTAATGAAGTTTCCCAAACCCACCTAACACCACCCCCTTAACAATCCATCTGTTTCCTGGAAGACTCTTCCTCTGGCCCAACGCTTCAGCATCATTACTGAGCTGATCCCGCATTTACCTCAAACTTAAAAACAAACCACTTAAGTGTTTAAAAACAAAAACATCGATCCTTATCCATTTCTCAAAACCAGCATAATGTTCTTAATGTTCTCTGCCAGTATTGAAATGGCACAAGGGGCTTGCATGGCTTTGTCATGTGATGCTGTGTTTTCATTCCCATCATCAATCCCACAATGCAAAGTTGAGGCTGCGATAGCAGTTCCCAAACCCAGATTCCTATAAGCGACACTACCGCCGCTCTGCAGGCCATCATATGACCTTTGAAGTGCTCATTTGTTTTAAAAGCTCGTATGACTCACACACTTACCCATAACAGTAGCACTTTATTGCTTAAGTGTTCGCAGCAGCTCAGCGATTCCCTGCCCCCACCCCGCCCCCGCCCCCGGTACACAGCCCACGCTCCTCACGACTGACCTCTTACACAGCAGCGTTTGCAGGAGTTTCACGCCTCTCACCAGCCCCGGAACACCAACGTGGGGCAGGTTAGAGCACCACGCTTTCCCAAAACAGAGAGCGGATTCAGGCACAGCTTACCTAACCTCATTTAGCTACGTGGTTCCAAAGCAACTCAAAAACAACGTGCCACTTTCCCAACTCCAAATGTTTAGCTAAAAGCAGGCCTGTCGACGCCCTGAGGCCTGACTGCGTCGGTGAGGCCGGCTTCCTGTCTAGGACAGCGGACGCTGGGCCGCCTTCAGCCCAAAGACGCCATGAAAGAGCTGCTCTGTTTCTTCAGCACAGCACCTGTAATTCAGGTTGAGACGTAAACACATTCAAGGAAAATCAGTACACAAAACAGGACGAAAACACACATTTAGCCTTTAGTTAATCATTTAAGCTTTATTTTGGCTGGCGGAAGCTTCTCCATCTAGTGACAGACACGTTCAGGCATAGGCAAAGACTTCCCCCTCAGCTTTGCTTTGGAAATGCAAAGGGACGCATCTGGCGGTGAAACATCCATGGCATTTATTAATAAACGGGGCAGACACAGAGTCATTCCGTCTCCTGTGCCTATTCCGAGCTCCATCTATGGGAAAAAGCCATCACAAAGCTATCAGGAGGCCATCTCACTGCATTTACGCAACAAAAATAGACGCTGGAGCCCCGCTGGCATAAGCAGCTCTGCATTGTGAGCGAAGAGATGCCCCCCCCCCCCCCCCCCCCCCCCCCCCCCCCCCCCTTCACAGCCTTACACGCATCTCCCCCTGAAATATTGCAGGGGAAAATCCTGAGACTGTACAGTCCGTTTTTCCGTTCGCTGGGGTAAATGGGCGGTTTTATGAGCTCCCAGACCTCCATCTCGGTGAGGCAGGAACGCAGGCAGCAGGGACACTGTAAACTTGGATGGGCGCTGAGGCAGGCTGAGGGGTGGAAGACTGAGCATGTGCGCTACATCCGAGCCAGGAGCCCCAGGGAGGGGATCCTGAGGGGAGGCTCAGGCTGCGAAAGGAAGCTGGGTCGAGCAAAGACACGGCTTTCGACCGCTTGGGGCCTTTAATATGACCGGCTATATACTGGCAGGAAGGCAGAGTGCACAGATGACAGGATGATGTAACGATGCCCCAGCATTACTGTCAGTGACACACTTAAAAAAAAGCAGTTTCAGTTCCGCTGTATTTCCTCAGAATCTCATTCACCTCCACCTCTCCAAAAACTACTAACAACAAAGCATAGAAAATACAAAAAAATAAAACCACCCCACCAGCATACAGAAGCTCGGTTCTGAGGATGATGACCAAGATGGAGGAGGGTTTTGACTGGAGCCATGACCTCCCTGAGCTGGGAAGTTGTCAGCAGATGAGAGGAGCGGAGGGTCACAGCTCTGGTCCTGTGTGTGTGTAACAGTCGATACCGTTTCTGTTCTCCCACGCGGCCGGCCAGAGCGCCGTTTCACACCATTTTAATGCCAGGAGGGGGGGGGGGGGCGCCTACCAACAGCCCCACCACTACAGCTTACCGCCTTATTTGGAACGCAGCCCCAGGGCGGGAGGAGGATGCCGAAGTTTACCCCCATCACAGACACGAGCTCCAGAACATAATGGATCGAGTTTTTAAGAGAAGATTGAACATGCTCTGGACCAGGACTGACACTGTACGGTGCCCCCTGCAGGATGGGAGGCCTAATCACCAAGCACTAAGGGCCCCCTGATAAGAAGTCAGACCGATAACCTTTTAAATGATGTTTTTTAAATAACGTGAGCCAGGCAGGGCCCCCCAGGCCCACTGAAGGTGGCTTGGCCTGCGAAGGGAAAGTGTTTCACTTAAGATGGGGCAAACACAGACACAGACCATAATATCTGCCTTTTACTTCATTCAGATCGAAAGTTTAAAAAAAAATAAATACAGCAAAAAGGTGTTTATGACCTCAAAGCAAAAACTACACAGCTTTAATGCAGCTGATCTTGGACGTCACCATCTGTGACGAGTCCGTCTTAAACGGCCACTCAGCACCGGTGTTCAGCCTGAACACACCACCGCTCTGCCTGTGTACAGGTTGGCCTAACGGGCAGACCTCGTCAGCAGGGGAATCCAGGCCACTGAAGAGGAAAGCAATGAGCAGAGCTGTAGCAGAGCCGCAGCCACGTATGATGTTCCATTTCAGTCAGATATACTGGGGCCCTGGCAAGATGGCCGCCTTCCCAGTGACCAGGGACAATGCCCCCTCCACAGCAACGGCCTCTAACCCCTCCTACGCCAGACTCTTGGTGGCGAAGGTCAGGTATCCCGTGTGACCGGCCATCTCCCTGGGTGCTATGGCCGTCCTGCAGGTGACCGCTGCGCTGGCGGCAGAGGGCGGAGCCTCCCCGGGGCCCGCCTGGGCCGGGTCGTCGGGCCCGAGGTCGGCCAGCGGCAGGGTGACGGAGCGCACGTCGTACAGACGCAGCAGCACCTCCAGGGTGCAGATCTCTTGGAAGCCGTGCTCTGCCAACGCCGCGCACGTCCTCTGGACCTGCTCGATGCACGGAGAGAAGGAGCATACGCGGCCCCCTACAGGCAGAAGGCAGAATGTCAGGGTCAGAGGTCAGGGAGCACAGGGCCCGCAGGAGCCCAGCAAGGCCAGGAGAGGCCTCAGTCTCACGGGCCCCAGGCAGCAAGCATTCCATTGACAAATAAGGCCACTCCAGGGAGGGGGGGGCAGCTGGGGGGGCTGCATAGGATCCTGGACCTTCACGGGTTTGCGTTTCCCCAACAGATATTGGCCAAGAGCCAATATTACACAAGTGGGGGGGTCTTTCAGAAGCTATGAGCAGTGTGCACACACACACACGCGCATACACACACACACACACACACACACACACGCACACACACAGTCCCAGCATGAAAGCTGCTCAGATCCTGCTCTGCCGGACCATGATGCACAGAATCATCACCCCGTGGAGATCAGGAGGCTGCCGTCTGTATCCAGGCTCCCTGAGCTGCCTCTGCTGTACATCCTGTACGCTAAACTCGAGTCACCTTGAGACAAAGTGGTCGGTGTGTCCAGGGAGCTGCATGAGGACAGGCTGGCAGGACTCCTCAGCGCGGGTATCAGACCCCCCCCCCACCCAGGACCCAGCTGCCCTGCTCTAGGCAAGGAGGGTCTGACTTTGCCGGCTCCTGCAATCTTGCCCTTTATGGTCATGGAAATTCCTCTTCAAAAAGCAAAAGCAGCATATGGAAGGAGCCCAGCGTCTGTATGTGTGTGTGTGTGTGTGTGTGGGAAAGCCTGCAGCTGACTGATGAAGTACAGAGACTGAGGGAACCACCACCTTACAAGGGAATGAGACAGAGCTGATGTGCGAGAGGATGCAGGCATGAATGCATGCAAACACCCCCCCAGAACACAACAGGCAGAGTAGAGAGAAGCCCCACTGCTTTGGGCATACAGCAGTGCACTCCCCAGCCCCAAACACGCCGCCTCAGAGCCTGTACTGAGGCTCAGCCAAGGCCCACGATGAGCCATCCATTTTCCTCAGCTGCCAGACTTTCCGAAGATCAAAAATAATCTCAGGAGCTTCATCCACACTGTATCCAGGGCATGACTAATCATTACAACTAACAGAAGGTAAACTCCAGTCAGGAGGAAATGAGAATGTATGGTGAGTGAACTGGCAATTATTGCTTCCGCATACCCTGCTGTGCGATCGTTCACAGGGTGGTGAGCTTGTTGCAAACAAGGCTGAGAGACAGACCCCCATGTGGCGCCCCCCCAGAACGCTCCATGTCCCAGGGCGCGATGACCTTCCTTATGCCCGCCAGGGCTGACATGCCCAGACATGACCGTTAGTTGCTGTGCATTCCTGTTGCCATGGATACGGCAGCTTCCTCCATAGCTACCGGGGACCCCTGAATTAACCCTCCCGGTGGCTCTTCCCCCTGCATACATGGCAAGTACTGCATAGCAGCTTTCAGAAGGCAGGGCCACGGACAGCGATATTACTGCCCCCCCGCCCTGTGCACGCTCCCCCACTCCTCCCAGTCAGGCAGTTACATCCACTGCCAAGATGACATTCTCACACTGCATGACAAACTTCTCGGAAACCAGTTCCTCCTCTTTCAGGAAATCACAAGCTCAGAAATAATCAGGGCAGAATCAATCCTACTGTCTTCAGCTAATCTGTCTCAGTTCAATAATATTAATAAAAACTACCCTTCTTGCATTCTGCTTTGTTTTAGTTTTGCAGAGATTCTACATTGCTATTTTTCTAGAACAGGCAGATACCAACCTTCAATACAAGGCTAACATAAACGTCTTATTAGCTAAGAAAATGGATGGATGGAATAATTCCCCCTTGCAGTAAACGATGACAAACCGGTCACGCCGCACTTCTCTCCCACACCCTTCCTCACCTTGCTTCTTGATTGCAGTTCTGGCATGAACCACGGCCTCCCAGGGGGAGGGGATGTCGAGGAAGACGGCGTCGGCCACGGCGCTCACCCCGAAGCCGTCCTTGCACACGTCCTGGTTGAGCACCGTCACCAGGTGGCCCACCTTGTGCTCACGGAACTCCTCGGCGGCCTTGTCTGCGCGCTGCTGGTGGAACTCCACGGTGTAAAGGTGTCCCGTGGGCGCGATGCAGCGCAGCATGGAGTGGGACAGGGAGCCGCTGCCCGTACCTACAACGGGAGGGGACCAGACATTACAGGGATATCCCACAATGCACTGCGCCGCAAAGATCCCAACAGATAAAACCATCAGGACAGGGAAACTAACTGAACTTTACTCAAGTCATTATTTACACACCAAGCAGCCACCCTTAATGTTTCATGTATTAAACGCATGCTGGCTTAAATGCATTCAGTACCGTGGCAGATTGCCAGAGTTCCCAATTTAAGCTGTCGAGCCCTGAGAGGAAGTAGGAGCCAGTAAGCAGAGCGCTGGACAGCAGCCTTATGGAGCACTTCTGTTCCCAGCATTCCCATCAGCCCCCCCACCAGGCATCAGCAATGCCCCATTGATTCCACATCACATGCTCACATATTAGCAGCGAAGAAGCATCAAAACTACTGGGGATGCGCTTACAGCGACTGCTTGCTGATTGGTTGGTGCTTACAGCGACTGCTTGCTGATTGGTTGATACTAATAACTAACAAAATTACTTGTTCATGCTCCACTATCTTGGGGGGGGTGGTGTACTTTCGTATGAAGTTGTGTGTGAAGAGCTTTTTGCATGTCCCATGCGTATTTGCCGTAAAGGTCCCAGTTCCCGAAGAGCAGTGTGAAAATGACACATGAATGCGGCCAGAAGCTACACATGTTCCCAGTCAAGAGGGCCCAGGGACTTGGAACCAGGAAACGGGTTCTGGAACTTCGGTGTGAAAGCGCCCATTACGGTTGACTCTAGCAGGGGGAATCGTTATTTTCTGGAATGTGGAGAAGCCAACGGCATTCTGGGTAACCCACTGATAAAATATGAAACCAGCCTGTGTCTCCATACAGGCGCCAACTACGTGTGAGTCTGTGTGCGTCAGGAGCCAATGCGCAGCTCGCCCATGTGGGGGGGGGGGCGACATGCAAGAGGCCGCGGGATGGATTACGTCGCTGGGTGCCTTTGTTTTCATGGCAACAATAGGGGCAATGTTTACCCAGAAGAACTTCGCGTTCGCTCGAAAAACCAGGATGGGTTACTAGAGTCAGGCGGGACATGGCCACCGCTGTCACAGCATTGCACAAATACCCAGAAAACCAGCATAATAATGACAAAAATGCTTAAATGTAGCCCCTGAAGGTCTGTTTCTGCAGCTCCTGTAAACACTGGAAGAAGCAGGACAGGAGGGTGGCGACTGAAGATAAGACTCCCATAGCTAGAGACGCTCGGCTCATTATGAGCCCATTTGCCTGTGTGATGTAGCCATTACTCCCCTTCAACCTGCATCAATCAGATCTGAAAATGTGTAAGGAGTCGGGTCGCGAACCTATATTAGCCTGGCTGTGGCCGAGGACACAGTACAGCCCTGTAGTTACCCTCTCTGCACCGCACTTCAGAGGTCGTGTCCATCTCCAGTGCTGTCAGTCAGCTGCCCCCTAAATTCGGCAGATCACAGGGGAGCGAGGCCAACCCCCCCGGCTGAAAACTAGCAAATACACATCTTGAAGTTTGCTCAAACAGGACAGTGGGCCGCGTCCTAAACCCACCTGTCCTGTAGGAGCTTCAACACATCTACAGAGCTGTGAAATTGCTGTCCATGGACTTCACAGCTTGGGGCTTCATCATCACACCCAAAGACAGATGTGACTGACAGATAACGGCACACCAGCACAAACGTGTTTGTGCGCATACATATATACCCTCATTACATTCCAGAACACTCCATCACTCACAAGCTTCCCAGTGTGGTGTGAAGCGGCCATTTTGCAATCAGGCCCTCAGGGATGCCTGACTCACGCTTGTGCCGTTTCCTAGCAAGAAAGGACTTCCTCTTAAGCTGAGTAACAGTCTCAGGAGCTGCAGTGGACCTGCTGGTCAGTCACCTCATGAGAGAGTCCTTTCAGTACACAAACACCCATCTTCACACTAAAGATGGCATGGTCGGCTGCAGGGCACAGCACAGTGAGACAGGGATTTAAAAGGCGCACCTACACAAACAAAAAAACACACACACACACACACACACACACACACACACAGCCTGGATTCATGAGGGCGTCGATGAACGTCACACAGCACCAAGTAAACAAAAACGCAGTGGCTTGCGGAGCCAAAGCAGCCATTTCTGAAATAAGCAGCCCGGCTGATGTGAGATTAACTGCTTTCCAGCATCATTGTGAGCAGCCGCTACACTGCAACCCGTGACACGCACCTCAGACGCCCTTGACGCATTTCCTAGGACTGTGATCTCTCCGGCCGCCTTTCTACACTGTACTTCGGCCGACTGTCATATTAGAGCTTCTGCCAGGCTGCGCTGAGGACGATCTTATCTACTGGAGAAACGCAGCACGCCGCTGTCCTCTTGGAAAGTGACGAAGAGACACAAGGACATATCACTATGTCCAGGTTATGGTGGCAATATCCCAGGATCACACACACAGCATACCTCTGAGGGCACGGGAGAGGGCACCTGCAGACAAGCCTGGCCCCCGCCCACTCATTTGTACAAGGAAAACGTTAATGTAGGTCAACAAGCCGTTATCAAGAAGCTTAATATTAGCGGAGCTGGGGAGCACAGTCAGCTGACAGGCAGGAGAAAGTAACAGCGACCTTCAGCAGACGCGAGGTGACCTGTGCTACAAGCCGTCAGGCAGAAACAGCGGCAGCCAGGGATCAGTGTGCTGACTACACGTTAATGCAGAGGGTCACAAACACATGACTGTTTAACGACTGGGGAATCGAGACAGCAAACAGACCATCAAACTGCAAGGATCTCAAAAAATCCTTAGGGAAATTCTTCAGAATAAATTGCATTCCGAAACCCTTTGCGAGAATTTCTCCAGCTGGCTATTTATACAAATGAGTCACATACGACACTGAAGGGCATGGCAGACATGGGCCAGGTCTTCATTAGAACTGATCCACATTAGAACACAGCACCGCTTTGACCGAGTGTAAATATACTGCGCAGCTGAAGAGATCGGTACTGCACCTCGGAGCGCTCACGGCTCACACTGCACACCTCACACTGCACACCTCAGTGCGCTCACAGTTCAACCTCAGTGTTTCATATAGAGTGCTGCTGTGAAAGGTCAGGAAATCAGTCAAACTACCAGCCACCAGGGGCAGAATAACTTCTCCGGTGGCCCGAGGCTGACATGGGTAGGGTAGGGGGGCCCCCAAAATGGGCCATTTGAGCTATTTTTAAGGCCAGAAGAGAAGGGGGAAGGAATTGAACTTGGTTTGTGGCCGTGATCAGAAAATATACAGCAGAAAGTGCACCAGACTCAAGGTGAAAGTGAGCTGTGGTTGTGCCCAGCGCTTGGGTGTCCTGTTTGACTTTCGATTTCACGCCTTTGACTGCTGCTTTCAATTAATCTTTTGCGTACAAACAAAAGTGAACATACAAGTACAGAACCTGGTGCTTAACACTCAAGCAAGATTCAAGTGCTGTTCAGCAGTTTTGGAAGCAGATCAGTGCAGGAGCCCCAGCCTGACAGGAGGCACAACCCAGCTGCAAACGCCACGCTCACCTGACTCGCAGACCACAGAGCCCGGCTTCAGCTCCAGCATCATGGTGATCATAGCGATGTCGGTCGCGTACAGGATCTGGGTGCGATGCGGCAGGCTGACGGTCCACAACTCTGGGGTGGGATGTAACACGTAGACCCAGCCGCCCTTGCTGCACGTGACCTTCGACCCGTAGCGCCGGCCAATCAGGTCCACGGAGTGACGAATCGCCCCGTAGCGGGTCTGCGTTTGGGCCCCTGCTTGCACCTTGACCGGAAACATGGACTCGTGGCCCAGGAAGATGATGACCACATCCCCCTCCTGGATGCACTCGGAGTACTCAACAAAACTCATGAGGAACCTGCAGGCGATGGAGCAGCTTCAGAGACCCAACAGAGAAGCCACAGAATCCTCCCCCCGTGTCACTGCACTGCAAGATAAGACATAGCAAAGGGGGCTAAGAGCCAAAAACCTTCAGCAGCTCGAGTCTAAAGCAACTGTTTAAAATCCAGAGTAAACGTACTTACTTTAGGTCAAACATCTCTGCAGTGCTAAAACATTTCATTTTTACATGACATGCAAAGTCAGGCCATATTCCTGAAGAGTTAGGACACAGGCTTTGGGCACAGGTTTCATGTAAGAAGCACAACTTGTACAGAAGTGAGCTAATTAATTTGTACCAAAATGCATTTTTGTATCTGCCAACTATTGATATCAGCTGATGCAGCAACAGTCGGCACCTTAAGGTAAGACGGCATAGAGTATGAAGAGTTTCTGGGAAAAACAAACCTTCCAATGAAGAAGGCTGCAGTACTGCTGAATGAATCTGGTCTGTTAGAATTCAGTGCAGACAGTGCAAAATGGAAACACATTACTCGGAATTTATCACACTTGATGATCAGCCCTTCTCTATTACATATGTTTTTAAATATATAAGATGAGATCGCGGATACAAGCGGCAGAAATTAGTTTCCTCCGCAGGGTGTCTTGGCTCAGCCTTAGAGAAAAGATGAGGAGCTTGGACATTCGGGGTGGGGGGGGGGGGGGGGCTTAAAGTAGAGCCACTGCTCTTCCAAATCAAAAGGAGCCAGTTGAGTTCAGGCATCTATCCTGGATACCTCCTGGATGGCTCCCAGGGGAGGCGTTTGAGGCATGTCCAACCGGGAGGAGGCCCCGGAGCAGGTCCAGGACACACTGGAGAGATTACATCTCTCGGCTGGCCTGGGAACACCATGGGATTCCCCTGGTGGAGCTGGAGGAGGGGGCTGGTGAGAGGGAGGTCTGGACATCTCTGCTTAGACTGCAACCCGACCCCAGATAAGCGGTGGAAAATGGAATGGAATGAAAATGGAATGAAATATAAGCGCTCAGGGCCTGCTGTTATATGCCAGAGTTGATGTTTTCTTACCAAAAATTTAATACCTTTTAAATTTGAGGAGTGTCCCTTTAAATTTAAGCAGAACCTCCCAAATAATCGGATATCAGTATCAGCCCGAAAAACCCTCCAATTCAGTAACAGAATGAAGACAATTTTAGATGAGGCAAGAAGCATCTTTTGAGTTGAAACCACGAAGGGGCCTCTAAAGACCTCACTGTCGTACCTGCAGCACTCGTGCTCGCTCTCCGCTGGCTCGCCTGAACATTACTTCCATGGGGAGTGACTGTTGTCCTCCCCACTAGCCTATAACTTGATCTTTGAGACAGGATAGTTATCTTGCGTGTCAGGCGGGGCTGACCAACACAGCGATGTGCCCTCAGAACAGAGGTCAAAAAGATCTCACATCTACAGTAACTCTCAGCCAGCATTCCGTCCGCATTCCATCCTTTAACCTGCTCCCCTGTGACAGACACATAAGCTTGATGCATGAAGTACCCATTTCCCAGTTGCCATATATACCAACACCCCTAAGAAAAAAGGTATGGTTTTCCCCATATAATTTTTCAGAAAGACACTCAATTTCCTGCCTCTGAGAAAGCCTTTATTTACCTCCCCAAAAGCATCAGTTATGAATGAATCTAACGTCTCCGCATCGGCAAATATTTTGCTCTTTGCCTACAGTAATGCTAAAACATGTCTTAAACAGTCTTAATGTATTCTAATGCAAAAGAAGTACAGACAGCATACAATAATGCTATTAAGATATGCCTTTGGTCTTCATGCAAATGCATCAACTATCAAGATGAAAAGAAACGTCTGCAAATTGAACCTCTTCACCTAAGGGCTGGGGATCATCCTGAAAGCACTAAAACACAAGGGAAGGAAACAGCATAAAGCTTTACAAACATCTGAGGGCTTTAAAGGCACGAGGAAGAGTGAATCATGTATTAGCAATGAGGAATAAAACCATTCCCACAAAGATAGTCTTGTCATGGTGACAAACGGCATGTATTTACGCTTATTTTCTATGTGCGTGGGAGTCTCAGCGCTTGGGCAAATCATTTCCAGACCTCAGCCGCTCCTGTCACTTAACTGACAAGGATACAGTCGCTTATTTCCTGCATGCTTTAAACATTTACACGTGAAATTTTTTTTCCCCAGGGGTGGATTACCACAGACACATCTGGAAGGGGGAGGGAGCATCTCGGTTTTAATGGATGATTTTGACTTTCTTTCCTGGCCCAGTTATTCACGGAGTAATTTACCCCAAAGTCTACAATTTCTTTACAATACAGCCATTTATTCCTGACCAGACGGACACAAATCAAACACAGCAGCAGCAGCAAACAAACATTCTAACTAACAAGACAGTAAAGCATAATCATGTACTGTTAACATTTCGCTAAAAATCAAGATTTCCGTATCGGTCCGATGCGTCAGTCGTGCCCGATATTATATCCGGCAGATATTTAAACTTAAGCAATATTAAAAGTTAACAGCAGAGCTAAATACAACACTACTAAAAAGCAGAGCCTAAGATTGCTGATTTTGGTCATAACTCAGTTTCGATAAAACATGCAGTGTTTTGCCATTCAAAGAAAAAATGTTTCATCATACCTACTGAAATAATGCGGAAATTGAGGCAGCCTTGCCTGAAGAAACACTGAAAAGCCCATTTTATGTTAAAGTGGTGCGATAACTCATCGTGTTAATATGATGTGATTTCAATTACGACCAATTACTGCTTTGGGTTGAAGGAAAAGCAGCGCACTCTGCTGGCCGGGAGGACTAGACTTACTGTAACAAGTACCCATGTATATATACCGAGCATCAAAAGAAAGATATCAAGTTTTTCATTAGGGTAGTGTCCAGTTTCTGTGATGTGGCATATTATCCTAAAGTATTTAAGGTAAATACCTAAAAGTACATCACTCAGTCATAGATGATTGAGATCTGAATGGTTGAGTTGGTAGAGACAGATTTGCAATTAAGCTGAACAAGTATAGGCTGGTATTCAGCTTTAAGATATCTTGTGGCTTCTTACTGCCGTGCTTGAGCTAGGAGCTGCGGCAACAATATTAATTAAAGATGGACACGTAGGGAGTGAGCGAGCGTTCCGTTTGTGACGAACCACACTTTTGTGTGGACTGTCCTGACCGAAGAAGATGAGTGTGGTGGCGACCTGGTGAACAGCACGTCCGATGTGAGGTGCGAGAGTGTAATCGCTGGGGAGGAACTAATGGTAGGGTGTGGGCTGGAGTTTCCAGCTGGTACCGGACCGCTCGTAACACTGAATGGCTCGCTCACTGCTACATCGCTATTATTTCAGCAAGATAACGCTCATCCTCATGCAGCTTTGCTTACACAAACGCCCAATAAATCCTTTGCTACCACACTCACCAGATCGGAGTCCTACTGAAAAGCCATGGAATGTTCTAGGCCAGGGGTAGCCAATCTTATCTGCAAAGGGCTGGTGTGTATGCAGGTTTTTGGGATAACCTGTAGGTCAGATGTTCAAACCAAGGTGTGAGGACCCTTCAGCCAATCAGGCCTCTAATTAGTGACCTAATTAGGGAGTTGCAGCGAAAACCTGCATGTACACCGGCCCTTTGCGGATAAGATTGTCCACCGTTCTTCTAGGCCGACACATAACCCGCAAAGCACTACATCCCACTAAGAGACAGATGCTGGTAAAGGTACTAAAGGAAGAGCTGGCCAGGAAACCCCAGGCTGTCATAGGTAACCTTACACAGAGTATGAGATCATAATGCACTGCCTGCTCTCCACTAAATAATTAGGTCAGTAATACCTGTATTACCACTTCTTCACGACATTTTTTTTCTATCATTTTAGCTTGATATGCTCTGCAAAAGGTTCGATAAGATTCTTTTGATTCTCAGCATATATTATACCAGTCAAGATAACATTCCCCGTACAATCACTGAACAGAACGCTCAGTCACCACGTATTTCCAGAGACAACCACATGACTTTACTATAGATTTAGCTATGCCTATGATTATATTAAATCATATATGTGCCTTGGCATTGGCGTAGCGTCGCTCACACACAAGTTACACTCACATACGGAGACTTAATGCAAACTCACACCGGCTGGCCGGATTACGAATGAGAGGGATTCCGCTTTTAGTTAAAGTTCATAAAGCAACGTGTTCAGCTGAGCTCACCATACATAAACAGAGAGCAAAACGTCCTTAACATGTCTGTACGCTGTTCTACCAAATCATGGGTTAAAATTAAGACATAAAATCCTCATTCAGGTGAGATACAAACCTTTACGACAAAATGAAAAGCAGTTTAGAAACAAGCGTTCGTCCAAACGTGAAGCACAAGCATGCCGATATTAACTTGTGGCGCAATTTGATGACGTCTTACTTTAGCCTCTTAAAAAGACAGTGCATGAATGGTTAGTACTGTTAACAAATTGCACAGCAAGTCATAGATCAACTTCCATATAATATAACATACCGTGCATGCAATACATATCATGTGTAAATGCATATAAACACAAATGCACTTAAATACATAAGATATTTAGCTTATTAGATAAAATATTGTTATGATTACATATTAAAAGAAGAACGATGTGCTGCCGGGAGTCAGTGTGATGTAAATAAAACAAATATTTGCTTAAAATGAAACATAGTTGCTTTTCAATCACCGTGTACTTTCTATGTGAACGATTTTGTAATCGTCATACGTTATGTTGTTATTTCTTCATTTTACATAAAATGGTATGCTGTGGAAACTCGCTTTCATACGCTTTTCTACGGTTGTCACTGGGTACGGTTAATAACACAAGAAAAGGTACCGTTAGATCTGTACCAAAGCTCCTACACCGATGCGCTGACTGTGATACCTACGGCTCCTCCAATAGAATGAATGGACCGCATATAACAGCCAATCGAAATCGGTCCCCGCTTCTATAAAATATATGGTTCGAAAGCTCTTAATTCTGGACGGAGGAATTAGCGTTGGTGCGCGCTTCTCGGACGGACAAAACAGGGATCTTTGTATCTTCTCACAAGGATAGTCAACAGAAGGTAGGATAGGTGTTCATCCGGTCGGTTTTTACCGATTTTTTTAAACTACGCCATTAGAAGGAATAAAATTTCCATAGGAATTCCATTAGAAGTTGGGGAATAAAGAATTGAGGAATAAAGAAGGACGAAAAACTATACAACGTAATTCCTAAATCTGAAGTCAGCCGGTATCTTGTCCATCTGAAATGGCCGAAAACAATGAGCTGTAAATGTCACACACGGGTCATTATGGTTTTCAGTTAAGTGTTTTTCTTTTGGAAAAGAGATGTAGTAAAATGGCGTTTGAAAAATAATTTGGAATTGTTTAACTAAATGCGACCTTGCACTTCAATCTGCAAGGTCTTTTGACATGTTATCGACTGCTATGTATAATTTTGCTTGTGGGGCGGACCACATATTGCTTTTGGGACGAATTGCAGCCGGGTACTACAGTCGGTATTTCGTACATACGTGTTAAAGATGACGATACATACGAAGCATTTGTCTTCTCGAAAATTATATGCATATATTCTAAGCGTTGACTATACGGAATCGTTTATTTACAGTTACATTATTCTCCGTTAGGTTTTCTTAAGAAAGCAGAATTATGGACTCAGTACTAATATGCCATACAGCATCACTGTACAAATAGACTATTTTGATGGAAAAATTCTTTGAAACATTTAAATAGATTGTTTCATTTTCTAATAAGATTTTTTTATTGCATTTTTGTATTATTTTATTGTCAAGAGTATTACTACAAATAAGTGACTAGCATCTTATGGCGCAAACATTTTGTGCAAAGGTGCCGTATTTGAGGGCGGTAGGGTTTCAAAATTCATGTAAACGGGACTAGAAATATACCGTGTGCCTTGTAACGTTGGCTTCAGGGAAAAAAGCAACCATGCCGTTCGGAAACACCCACAACCAGCTGAAGATGAAGTACACCTCGGAGCAGGAGTACCCCGACCTCAGCAAGCATAATAATCACATGGCCAAAGTCTTGACCTCCGCGATGTATGAGCGCCTGCGCGACAAGCAAACGCCCACCGGCTTCACGCTGGATGACATCATCCAAACCGGGGTCGATAACCCAGGTAAACACCCAGGTTGACTTTATCCACCAAGTCGTCTGTTGCGCCTTTCAAATTATTTCACCTTTCGTATCACTGCAGAATGACCTTGACGACGTGTAATCACCGGTAGTGCAGTGATTACATCTGAAAGACCTGATGCAGGATAAATAAAAAGATTAAGGCATTAACCTTTAAATCCTAGTACAGGTTTAGTACTTAAGTACTTGTTACCATTGCTGCCGTTGAGTCCTTTGCTAGACGTATACAGCCTGTCTGGAGTGAACTGCATGCAGCAAGGCTACATTTCAGCACTAAACTGAATGCTGTAATGTAATTTACAAGTGGTTTCTTTTGCATGTGACGTACTTTAATAGCCTTTTAAGGCATAACAGATGGCTTTTCTCTACCATGTAGAAGTGCTTGTTTGGCAGTGTCATTACTACCCTGAAGCTGTCTGCCAAGAATGATTTTACTAACCACGTCCACATAATCACATGACCAAGGTCTTATCCCTGGACATGAGTACAAGACTGAGTCTAATGTGAACGCCCAACAGATTGGTATCATTCAGATGGGAGCTGACGATTCTTGTGGACTTTCCGTAGAACCTTCAAATGTGATTGAGCATCTAGCTATACCACTTGACACAGGGTGGTTTCAGAAAGGACCTGAAGGCTGCCGATCTGGACTTTGTCCCTTTTACCTCTGAGGCGTGTCCTTATTTCCCATTTCCTTTAGGCCACCCCTTCATTATGACGGTTGGGTGTGTGGCAGGCGATGAGGAGAGTTATGAAGTCTTTAAGGAGCTACTGGACCCAGTCATCCAGGACAGACATGGGGGATACAAGCCCACAGATAAACACAAGACTGACTTGAACCCAGAAAACCTGAAGGTGACCCCCCCCCTTGCCTCCTCCTGTTTAGCACATGCATTTGTCCCCTGGCAGCATCCAGTAAACCTGACTGGTTATTGTGTGCAGGGAGGGGATGATCTGGATCCCAACTATGTCTTGAGCTCCCGAGTACGGACTGGCCGTAGCGTCCGTGGATTCTGTCTGCCCCCCCACTGCAGTCGTGGAGAGAGACGTGCTGTGGAGAAGCTATCTATTGACGGTAGGCAAACCTTTCATTAAAATTTTCCATTAACGCTGTTTTTCAGAAGGTAGAATGTGCAAACACTGCCCTCTGGTGGTTGAAAGTGGAATCGGCCACTAACGATATTTCGACAGTGATAAGCTGGTTCTTTTTCTGTTTTTTCCCCACCCCCCAAAGCACTAAGTTCTTTGCAGGGTGACCTGAAAGGAAAATACTTTGCACTGAAGAACATGACTGAGGAAGAGCAGCAGCAGCTAATCGATGACCATTTCCTGTTTGACAAGCCAGTCTCTCCCTTGCTGCTGGCCTCTGGGATGGGCCGTGATTGGCCTGATGCCAGAGGGATTTGGTGAGAACACTGATCTCCAAAGCAATTTACAGCAGAGGCTACTCATTTTCCAGCGTATTTTACTGTGAGTGGGGAAATGCCTCCACATACCAGAAGGCATCAGTATGGGCTTCTTGTTTAGATTAATTAATGAAAGAACGATTAGTGGTATTTTGTCCTATTTATTTCCAGGCACAATGACAACAAGACCTTCCTGGTCTGGGTGAATGAGGAGGACCACCTGCGGGTCATCTCCATGCAGAAAGGTGGCAATATGAGGGAGGTCTTCACCCGGTTCTGCACTGGCCTCACCAAGGTAACCTGGGTGCACTTGGCTACTGGCTACGGAGGCATGGTCTCCAGATAATGGAACTTTCAAACATGAACCCCCTTTCTGCCCCCAGATCGAAGCCTTGTTCAAACAGAAGGGCCATGAATTCATGTGGAATCAACACTTGGGCTACGTCCTGACCTGCCCCTCTAACCTGGGCACCGGCTTGCGTGGGGGTGTTCATATCAAGCTGCCCAACCTCAGCAAGCACGAGAAGTTCGGCGAGATCCTTAAGAGACTACGGCTCCAGAAACGTGGGACAGGTAAAGAAAATTTTCTCCTTGCAGACGGAAGCAAGAAAAATTGCCTGATAAAGATGGATCAGTGTTTTTATTTTGGGATTCTCACAAGGTGAATCTGGTGGTGTGTAAGCAGGGTCTTGATCAGTGTTGGGTTTGTCTCATACCTAATTGCTCTTCACAGGTGGTGTAGACACGGCAGCTGTGGGTGGAGTTTTTGACATTTCCAATGCTGACCGACTTGGCTTCTCTGAAGTGGAGCTGGTGCAGATGGTAGTCGACGGTGTCAAGCTACTGGTGGAGATGGAGAAACGGCTAGAGAAGGGCCAGTCAATCAATGACCTCATGCCAGCCCAGAAGTAAACACTGCCTACATGAGTCTCCACCCTAAAGTCCTCTGAACTACATTAGGAATACACCAACTAAATGTTACTAGTGCAACATTAGACTGGTTTATCATGTATGATCATGTTTGTAGGTCTGTTTTCTTTGGAAATGCTCAAATGACCTGCAACCTGAAAATAAATTAATTTGCACTCTGATTCTGGTCTTGAGTAGGGTTATGTCTACACTACACCTTACCTCATTAGTGCTTTTTGTGACTCCAGAACTATGTTTTTAAGTTAGTCAGAAGTGAAACCCGGGTGACCGAAGTCGCATAGTAGTGTACAGCATTCTCCCCGCTCAGCTCCTCACACACAACTGCAGCAGACTGTCAGGAATCCATCCGTTGAAGATCAGGTGTCTGTGAAGCCAGAGATGGTTATTTCTCCTGGGTTCTCTGGTCATACAGCCTGTCTAACAGTGTCCTTATTAAGCAATGGCTAATTTCCCCTGCATAAAGCGAAACACTATAAGCCAGTAGCCCCTGGTGGGAGAAAAATATCTGATGCATTACAAAAAAAAAAAAAACAAAACACTATAGCATACTTTTTTCCTTAGCATTCATTCTAAAATTAGTGATCCTCAATGGAATTTAGAGCTATATTAGTTTGCTATTCACAGGGAACTTAAGGAAAAAAATGCTTTCCTTGACCTTTATTCTCCCTTCCAACCCAAAACTACAAATAAAACTTGTACTGGAATTGTGGACTTATAGCAGTTTATACGTATCACTCACATACCTTATTAAAAGATTTCAGCAGGCTCTCTCTCCTAGAACAAGCGTTTTCCCAATTGGTTTTTAATGTTCCTACTATTTATCCAATAAAGGTCACAAATGTTGGAAATGTCTGATTCTGAAATTTAATTTTGACTGATTGGAAAATGAATGTTGATTTCACTTTGCCTTTTTACCTCTCAATTTGGCTAAAAACACGTAATATCACTGAGGACATTTAGCAGCAAATTGATTATTGCTAATCAAATATTTCTATATCAAACGTTTCAGGCAACAGAAATGGAGGGATTCGTACAGACATTAAAAATAGTATTAAACTTTTTCTGAGACATGAACTTTATAAAATCTAGAAATGACTGATAAAACACAGACGCTTGCAGACTTTGGGATGTTTTAATGGAGACACTGATGAACCTTCACCTGATGACAAGTCACATTAACTGCACAGCTCCTGCCTTTAGCAGGACTTATAAAAGAAAAGTGTAACAATATGCAGCTGTTGCGAAACTAAGTTTCATTATTTACATTCAAAAACAGTGCCAACATTATTTTGAAGAGGAAGGGGTGCACAGAAGGGAGGGATTGATAAAAATCAAAAATAAATAATACCAAAACTAAAAATGGCGTGTTTTATTCAACTTTGTTCCAGGATGGCAAACCACATATGACTCAACCTGTGGGCTGAATACAACTGTGGCTGGCATTGTACAGTTACACATGGAGGTCACATGACAAAAGTGGGCAGGAGAGTCTGGACACATCTGTGAACAGACTTCCTGATGACCGGAAGTCCTCAGCAAACTAAAAATATCCACAACTACAAGTTCCACAATGCATTGCACACTGGAGTCTCCAAGGGAGCCAATCAAAAACAGGTGGCCTGAGATATGGCAGGACCGCGCCCAAGTTTTATAACCAATCTGTCATGACCAAAACAATCGCTTATACTGAATGCAGGAGAACCACTTTATAAACTTATCAAGAAAATAATAATTTAAAAAATGTGCAATAAAGTTCCCTATATAACCAGTCATCTCACATACACAGGAGGCCATCCTGCTCACACTACATGGGCCCAATCTACCACCGAGCTGCAAGGGGGGTCTCCATGCTTATCCAGGTCCACAAAGGCTGCTACTGACCTCCCCCTATCCCCACTCAACCCCATCAGACAGCTCTCGCTATTCTCTGAGGTGGATTATGGGACTAATTTCTTCTCTTTTTTTTGAGGGGGGGGCATTGGCTACGCTGTAGTGCACTTACTGGCGAATGAGGGTCAAGTCTTCAATGCAACTTCCTGTAATGTCTTCTACAGCAGTTATACACTTGCCATATCAATAATAATAATTTCAAAGATGCAGGAAATTATTGCCTAAAGCATTATTCTATACATAGTTTTTAATACATAACCGGTGAGTGTTTTGGAGAAAACACATTTCTGAAACTGCTACTTTAAAGAACGTAAGCTTAACGTAATTCATTTGCGTCTGTGTCTTAACGTTTGTCTTCTTTGTGCATCTTACAGCTTTAACTCATTGGCAATTTTGGAAGCGATGTTCTTGAAAGCAATGGAGGTTCCCGATATCCGCTTGAAGCGCACACCGTTGAGCGAGAGGCGGGGCAGCTTGCACACCTCCATCTCCCATTGGACCAGGCCTTCTGGGTGGGCGTGTCCATCACCATGGACACAAAGAAGCAGGAAGCGCTCGCGCTGCTCATAGTCGCAGTTGTTGGCGTCCAGCACCTTGCGGATCTCGCGCATCATGTCGCTGGGCTCCATGGAGCTTGTGGTCTTCATGCTCCAGGTGAAGCGCAGTGAACGAGGCTTGGAATCTTTATTCTCGTCCTTCTGGTCCCCGGAAACATTGCGACTGTCAGGGGTAGGAGAGTGAGTCAGTGGTGATGAACTATGGCTTATCTCCACAAGTTACTTCAGATCACTGATTTTATCCCAGAAGCGAGAGCACTGAGAGTCATGACATATTGTTTCCCACACAAAAAAACTTCACAAATGAGACATGCATGCATAATGGCCTCTCTCTCTAAAGGCATCTACAGAAGCACAGGCATGTCCACAATCAAGTCAATGCATAACATGCATCACATAAGGGCTAACATGCGACGGACACAACATGATGCAGGTGATGCAGAGCCATGGGCCTGTGAGGTGGCGTAACCATTTAGAGATCGACTGCCACGGTGTACACGGTGCCAGCCAAGAGGTGAGGCAAAGCAACCTAGCTATGGCGATAATTGTCTTCAGCTGTGCCACGTTACAGTGCCATGACCGCATTCGCTCGCGTCAAACTCCTGTCGACGAAACGCTTCACATGAAAACTTAAATGAAATCATTCCCAAGGCTAGCCAAACCATCAGTCTTACTGATAAAAATTAGCACATTACCTGAAACTCAAGCTATATGTTAACCCTTTCAGCCATCTGACCCAGTTATGATCTAATCAATTGGCTTACAATTCCAGGGAGCCATGAAACTCATTATGTAACAAACGTTTTTACCACAAGATGGCACTATTGGCCATCTGTATAGCTGCTATCTCCTACATGATATTGCCTCCTAGCAACTTAAGTTGTATAAAGCAAAAATAGGAATAAAAGGGGGGGGGGAAACCATACAAACAGCAAACAAGGCAGCTGAGCTTTTAATTCTGAAAACGCAAAATAATTCCAAGCAGCATTACGTGATACTAAATAAAGTAATTCAGATGACACTACACTGTGGACAGAAGCAGCTGAGGGTGTAGGGGCAGGAAGGACCCAGGTTGCTGGACTCGGCACAAGAGAGGAGAAGAGCACAGCAAACAGTGCTGGGGGTGAAGGGCGGCACATGATAAGTGATGAAGGGACACCCAAGTCAGCTGATGCCTTCTCACCTTGAGCCCTCAAATCTCCCGTTTCTTTCAAACTCTGTGGGGGGTCTTTTTTAAACACAGTCAGAAGAAGAGTGGGATACAGAGGAGAAAAAAAAAATGAGGGGAAGAGGAAGACGTTCATTTAAAGTGAAGGCAAAGAAAACAGCCCATTTGTAAATTGACAGCCATCAGTGAGGTGATACAACAGGAAGAAGGAGAGACGTAGAACGCCGGACAGGAGAGGAGACAGAGCCACCTGGTCGTTCACTTCTCTCTAGCCCAGGACTGTCCCCATGGGTCCTGACAAACTGAGTGCTTCACCATCATTCACCCAGGCCGTTCCTCAGGAACAGATGTGAAGTGAACCAACAAAACCAGTGCTGAATTCTGCCAGTGCAATGAGACAGTGGCTCAGGCCTTCTGGCCTCAGCACATCCTGTTCAGAAGAGCAGAACCCAAACAGCAGCCCCAGCCAATGCCACCGATTCCCTCAGTCTTACTTCCTGGACTGGCCAGCGCAAAAGTGTGTGAGTGGACAGTGTCAGAGACACACACTGGGCCAGGACTGAATGCCATTTGTTCCCTTCTCTTTTGCTCTCAGTTTCACACACACAAAAGCGGCAGGAGAAATGTGTATGGTCACATGTTCACAGTAAAGAAAAGAGAAAAAAAAACATCTGGTGTATATATATATATATATTTATATATATATAAAATCAGACTATCTGGTAGTAATGTGATACACCTAGAGGAAAAACACTGGGGAACTTAATCTGGGACCAGTGATGTATTTTGTGTGATTGAGAAGGTGGCAATACTTTTCATATGTGCACATGAACAAAAGGTCGTTTCACAGATTATCACTAGAAGGTTCTTTCAGGCAGAAATCCCAAATTTCCTGTTTATTCTGCAGGAAGGCTTTCAAAGATATAGTGGAAGGATGGCCCTTGAGACTGGGGAAATAGCACCCTCTCCTGTTCTGCATGCAGGTTTCATCCTGAGCTGGAGGCCACACTAGCAGGAAATGAAGCCCAGCCAGAGCAGTAGGACTGGCCCCGGCAGACATCCAGGTTAACCAGGCAGATTTCTTTTGCCTTTCCCTTATAGGTTTTCTTGGAGAGAGTTTCAATAGACTGGGACTGTTGCAGCGGGATGTCTAATCCACTTCAGTCCGTCTGTGGGGCAATTCATTCAAAAGGACCAGACACAGAGCAGGATTAGTGAGCCCTGCACAGATGCTGCTGTTATGGGAAGTGGATTAAGGTAACCCCTTAATCCACACTGGCGATTCCTATTATTAATTTCCCACCTGAATATGACAGTAAGCCCATATTTGGAGGGGGGAAAGAATCTACTGACCAAAAAAAATAAAAAATCCACAGCCACAACATCAATAGCAACAACATTCAGAGTAGTGAACATTTCTCAACACAAGACAGAATCACAGGAAAACAAAAACCAAGTAAGAGGGAAGGTTGTGGGTTGTGGACTTACTACTGGTCCTTGCCATGGAGGCAGGGGGGGCTGGCAGGCCCTGATTTGTTGGTAGTCTGCTGTGTGGGGGGGTCATTAGTGACCCTGGGGAGAGGAAGAGCCGAGAGTTAAACTGTACACATGGAGGGTATAGGGAAGGGGTGGAGTACAGCTACAGCACAGTGTGCATGGGAACGGGGAGTCCCTTTGGGGCAAAGATTAGCATTTTGGAAGGACCTCCTTATGAGACTGTAGTCAGGAGGCTCTGAGATTACTGACCAACCTCTGACCCTCTCCTCATTTCCCCCAGACGTGTTACCCACAGCAGAGAGGAAGGGGGGAGAAAAAAAAACACAACAGAGGGATGGTGTGGGTGACACTGACATGGAAACCAAACAAAACGACAGCCTGAAATAGACGAGAGGGCAGGGAGCAGGACTGAAACCTGTGCGGTATAGCCTTGGCTATATTTTTTTTTTTGACAGCCTCACGGTTGCACAGAGACAACTGAGAGATTGCCTGCAGTCGTGTTCCTCATTCTTTTAAACTATTAAACAAGTCGAAGGTCACCATCAGTTCTTCCAAACACTCATTAGGAAACTGCGCCAAAGACCATGCAGGTGTAACATCAACACCTGTAGCATATCACACCTGGTCAGGTGGTCAAACATATGTATCAAAAAAACGGCATCAAACGTGTTCCGGATAGAATCATCTTGTAAAAACAACCATTGCTGAAGCAGACCCAAGTCTACAATCCCGGACCCTTTTATCTGCGAGCTATAATGTGCCTTGAAGTGACACTCTGTCCTCAGCGTTCGAGTCAATCCAGCCAGCACTACATGAATGTCCTGCTAACCATCAACCCCAAAGGGGGACTTCTCCTGCTTTCGACAGAACTCAACCACCATTACCAGTCAATCACACAATCACTGAGATTACAACTTTAAAACAAGTCGTTATTCTACTTGAGTAGAACGTTTACAAACTTACCTGGCAAAAAAAAAGTATGTCAAAGACAGTTTGTGTGACAGGTAAATCAAGAGGTAAGTTTGTGTGCAGAAACCACACCCTCATAGAAAAGGCATGCACATGTGATTAGCAAAGTCTAGATGCTGATTTGTTCTTCCTGAACAAAAGGAAGGAAAAAAAAAAAAAAGTCACAGACATGCTCAATCACACTCCACTCCAGTGTGAGACTGGGTGTCACCAAGAGGTCACAGCAACCAAAGTAGTGGTCAGTTACAAGCAGCAGATTTAGCTCTTAGTCCACAGCGGTTAACACACAAAAACTGAGGCGTTTTCTTTGTCAAGGTTAAAAAAAGATTAAGTTTCAGGTTAATCATGTAAGAAAGCCAACTGAGGGTCCTACCTTTTGGTAAACCTGAATGACATGTTTCTATAAAACAAACAAAAATAGAAGTAGTGAACATTATGAAGGTACTATAGAACTATAGATGACCAGGATGCTGATGAAGTGACTGAGCTGACCAGAGCAGTATCACACTGATTGCAGTGAGAAAGGCACGAAGACTGGAGTCTTAATTCCATCCTATTCCGAATTAGAATGCACTCCTCATGAGAAGGTCTGCGCATGTGCATCTCAGGTTTTGGGGATTGATCTGACCATGGTTCCCTATGCCCCATAGCATGGTGAAGGCACTCTGTGGAGTGTTAGTTCTGAACGGTCAAACCAGTGGTCATAAAATGAGCGAAGCACTAATGCCTGTATGCAGCCTTTGCTGTCATTCTACCTCTGCTCCAGCCTCACCTAAGGAAACACCAAGTGAAACATCAGGGAAACGTCTGAAGACCCAGATAAACAAATCTGTACACGTAAAGAATGCAATACTGCTGAAGTGAGGAATGGTAACAGGGAGAACTTCACAGGGTTGACTAGGGGGTAAGACAGTCAATACTTTGATAGCAGTGAAATTAAGGTATACATTTAACTGGAAACTTAAACAAAAAGATTCTCTGCCTTATAAATAATCTTCCAGGAGTAGCTGGTGTAACACCGTCTATAATACCCTTCAAAAGGCACAGAGACTCAAGAAGTGCAGGGGTTTGAATGTAACCAAACCACCACCACCAGAGGGAGCGAGTTCAGGGGCTCCAGTGTAGAGAAGCCTGCCTACCTGCGTGTGAGCTTGGAGGTGAGCTTTGTGAAGAGGTTGGAGGAGCCGCGGCTGCGTGACTGGGAGAGCGGCGTGGCGTCGTGGGAGAGGGTGGGCGAGGCCGGAGGCCCATTGTAGGTGGCGGTGCGGCGCTCCCGCAGCTGCCCACCGTGGAAGGTGCTACGGCTGGCTGTGCCGCGTGGGAAGCGCAGGCGGTCTGGAGGGGTGGCACCTGTGACACTGTGGGTGGAGGCTACTGGGTTCCGCTGGCCGGCTGGCACGGCTGAGCTTGGGTGGGGATAAGGCAGACATAGCAAACTCGTCATATACAGAAGCAAGGCTGCCCTCTAATGCCATCAGGTCATACTGCTGTCAGCACCACCCGTACAAAATGGGTTTAGGACTTTCTTGCAGGGAATGCAGAAACCCAGGAGGACAGGGTTCTGGTCCTGGACAACATGCACAAACCTTACTTCCTCCCTCTTAATATTCAAATTCACCAGACCCAGATTCCAAGCTTGCAAGAACTGCCCCAATTTCCATGACCAATGCACCCTTCATTCAGAGATATGTTTAGATATCGTACGGACAACACACACTTCTTTTTCAACGAACAGCTTCTCGAGTCTGATACCACATACATGCACCCACATTTACAGATCTAAGATGTTAGAATGGATATCTGCACACATATTTGCATATTGTGAAACAATCGTACAGCTGTATAGGTAATGGATTTCAAGTAAAAAGTTTTCTTTTCCTGAAATAAACAACTGTAGTGGGGCTCAGTGGGCTAAGTCTCTATGCCTGTGATCAGAAGGTTGCTGGTTTGAGGTCAGCCTCAGCACATGTGGGTCCTTGAACAAGGCCCTTAACCCCCAGCTCCTTGGGTGCTGCTATGGGTGGCTGCCCTTCACAGCCAGCTTACTCTCACCTACAGAAAGCAGGTTGGGGGAGGCGTAAAGAGAACTTCCTCACGGGGATCAATGAAGTATTAATTATCATTATTATCATCATATATTAGATACTAATGACTCGGAGTAGACAGATCCCGCAGAGTCACCAAGAGCAGCAGAGACTTGGCTGGGCTGTGATTGGCTGGGTAATGCTGAATCAGGTGGTCAAAGGTGACTTATAAGCAATGGCACAATGGTTAGAAATCAACGCCACAGGGGTCAGTATGGTTAGGCACACTGACAGGGGCACGCCAGGGTTAGCGGGATGTGCCGCGGCGCCTTACGTGGGCCCGACGACATCGACTCGGCTGGGGCGGCCCGCGGCCGACAGGGAAGAGGCCCTCTGGTGCCGCAGTCGCACGGAGGCCGGGGACGCAGCAGAAGCAGGCATGTATGCATGCGCATAAGAGCTAGAAGCACAGGGGGGCATTTTGCACAGGCTGCGAAAGTAAGGCAGGACCCCCAAAGCAGAAGAAGTAAATAATGTCAATATATCAACATGACACCATGGCTATAGAAACTGACAAAAGAGCCGAAAGGTGCGAAAAATGTGTAAATGTTCAAGGACAATTCGAGCTCCTTTTCTTCCGGCTGTTTTTCTGATATTTGCTTGTCTCGGTGCCACATCACTCAGAGACATAAGTGTGATACAATGATCGGTCACTGTCAGCCTGACACCTCTGTCCCAGCTGCCCTACCCTCACCAGCCATTACTGCCCTCCGCAGTCTATAGTGTCATTGGGTTCTATCTAGTGCAGGAGGTCACAGAAACAGCATTAAATTAGGAGATTCTTCAGGACTTCACAGTTACAGTCAGATACGAGCTAAAGACATGCTCACCAGGACATAACAGCAGCAGTGCGAATATGACAGATTAAGAGAGCTGAGGGTCACAGTACAGCTGAGGGTCACAGTACAGCTGAGGGTCACAGTACAGCTGAGGGTCACAGTACAGCTGAGGGTCGGGAACCGAAGGGCCATGCTGGGCGAGAGCAGGACTTTACCTGTTCTCTTTCCCATTCTGAACGACAGAGAGGCGGTCCGTGGGGGTCCTCTCACTGCAGACGTAAGTGTTTCTCCTGGTCATTCCTCCAGACACTGAATTACTCTGCGGGTTGTTGGAAGGCCAGGTTAAAGAACACTAGGTCAAACTAAGATAACAACCAAAGACAAACCAAACCAAAGACCTAGTTTTCCTGGATTAAGAAACACATGATAGACCAAAGCTGCAGATAATAGGGAAAATTTAACCGCAATATTAAGTTCTAATACGTGACCTCAGTACTGTGACAGCCCTGCGCAGGGCTCGGAGCACGAGGTCATGGACAGACTCACACTTACATTTGGGGTAGTGGACCCCTTCTTGCGGTCCGGAATGTCAGCCTTGTTGGGATTACTGGCATTGCCCAGCATGGGGCTGGGGGGGGCGACGGCTCGAACCCCAGCCGTGCTGGACTTGCGCTGCTGCGCCCCGCCCTCCTCTTTCAGGTCGCCGTCAGCTGCACTGGTCTGGCTCCTCTTGGGGTAGCCCGCCGACGAGGGAATGGTCGGTCCGGCTGGGGTGGGGGGGGGGGGGGGGGGGTACGACAAGCAGGGTGAGGGAGGGGAGGAGACAGCTGGTGTGACAATCAGGGCTTCGTGTTGATCAGCACCGCTTCAACTGAACCATGCTAAGTAACAGTGTGATGCCTCACCCTGGTCGCTGTAGCGCCGCTGCTTCTGGCTGGTGGAGACGCCCCGCGGAGCTTTGTGGTGGGAGGGAGACTGGCCGTTGTTGAGCTCACTATTCGGTCTGGTCTTGGGGAGTGACAGGTTGCTGCTGGAGCTGGAATCGCTGGCCTCCAGCTGATGGCACACAGACAGACACCAGTGAGTGTCTTCTCCTTATGTCAAGATTACAGTCCAGCACGCTGCATGAGTAAGGGACACTATGAGGGCCATTTGAACTGGGTGAGATGTAAGAGACTGGGGACACCAGCCCATAAAAGAGAGCTCCTTCAGGCCTTCACCTCAGACGACTTTCTGCCCAGCAACAGGTAGGTGGCGGTGATCTCGTCATACTTCATGCGTGCCAGGGACTCCTGGATCTCCTCCCGGGAGTAGCCCATCCCCACAATTATGTCTGCAGAACAACACAAAAACAAAACGCACACAGAGGTGAGTCAGACAGTTACTGTATGCCTCCTCTGGGCCTCAAATCTACAACACCCCCAGGCCGGCTGCTCTGGCACTGCTTCAGCACCTCAGTCCAGGTTAATTATCCTCGCAACAGTCATACTGACAGATGCGGGGGGGGGGGGGGGTCGTCAAGCAGCCGAAATCCGAGAGAGACACAGGAATCCGGCCCCGAGGCTTCCAGCCATTGGATACCGAACTCCTGATGGCTGGGAGGGGGGAGGGGGGTGCCAAACTCTAAGCTCCCATCCATATCTCCACTATTACCTCCATCCCCCTCACACTCTGTGACAATTTACTATTCAAACAACATTTTTAATAATTCAGTTTAAAACTCTCTGAAGATCCGGTTTGCCTAGTGGGGAACCTTGCAGAGGGAGAGTTTATTTTAACGGCAACACACACACACACACACACACACACACACACACACACAATATTCTGTACATCTGTACCTATCCTCTTTTGGTCAGAAATGTCCAGTTCTGGCTCCACAAAGGGCTTGAGCTCATCTTCCTCGCAGCCTGCATTGATCCAGCGGTCCTTCATGATTTGCTACAGAGCACAGAATGCACAGGCTTCAATCAATGGTTCTGACTAATCAAAACAGATTATCGGCAGGACTTAGGGTCGAAAACAGCTCTTGTAAGCATCTTGCTTGCAGTCACTGTTAGCTTGTGAGGTTATTTCATACGAGAGCTGGAGCTGAATTATTCACAGACATGAAGTGTATGAGGGCCTCCAGAATGCAGGTTTCCTATCAGACAGGTTCTGCAGTGTGCTCACCTCAAGTGTGCCCCGCTTGGCTGGGTTCAACACCAGGAAACGTTTCAGCAGGTTCTCACAGTCTGTAGACATGTAGAAAGGGATCCTATACTTTCCCCTCAGCACACGTTCACGCAGCTCCTGCAGGGGGCAGTTGAGAGCTGAGCAACACACCATTAGGTCACACGACAATGACCTTACCACAAAACATGGAGCTGGGCTGGTCTCATTCCAGTTATTAGGGCTGATCTTTAAGAATGAACTGTAAGACCTGCAAGGTTTGTCCCCTAAGGATGAAGGTCACATCTGATTTTGGATGACTTTGGAAGCAACTGATTGCATGATTAAGCCATTTGCACTCATACATCCATTGTGAAGTGGAAGTAATCACTTTGAACAATGGTTTTAAAAAAAAAAAAAAACCTCACCCCAAAGAGGTGGAGACGCGCAGATATTAGTTACTGAGGCAGTTCTGCTTACAGGCTTGCCATCAGTCACTGACAGTCACCTACATCCAGACACATTCCAGAACATTCCTTTTAAACTTCCTGTTTTCATAGCTGTTTCCATTTATCCTTTCATTGTCCCGAGGACACAGAGAAGCCTAGAAGAGACTGAGGATGGGGCCGCGTTGAGGTGCCGACCTTCAGGTTCTGCCCATCGAAGGGCAGCGAGCCGCTGACCAGCGTGTAGAGGATGACCCCCAGGCTCCAGACGTCCACCTCAGGACCATCATACTTCTTGCCCTGAAAGAGCTCGGGGGCAGCGTAGGGGGGGCTGCCGCAGAATGTGTCCAGCTTGTTGCCCAAAGTGAACTCGTTACTGAAACCAAAGTCGGCAATCTTGATGTTCATGTCGGCATCCAAGAGCAAGTTCTCCGCCTTTTGGGTGAAGCAAAAAAATAAAGCTTAGCTCATATACATTAGATACATTTTCAGATGATCCCATGTTACAAAACAAACTGCCCTCACCAGGCACCACAACCAGTTACAACAGAATCAGTCTGTGCTTATCTTTCTCCTTCTACAGAGAAGACAGGTTTGTTGTGTCCTGCCATCAAGCCTCATAATTAACAGCACTGTAATATTGGACCATGGGAAATAAAGGAGTAGGGGGGGGGCAGGATTCCAAACATAAGTCCTACATGAGACCAAAAATAAGACCTGGAGCATAAAGCTCTTCTCTGAAAACTCCCTCTGTGGATTATGAGTGGTCCAGATATCTCTCCTTTCATCTCTGTAGGGGTAAATTATTCATAACGCTGAAGTGCAAAGAGAGCCTCTGAACTAAGGTACTATGCGCATGAAGCGCAGCAATTTACAGCAGTGAGGTGAATGATCACGTAAAACGGGGAGGCAAGAATCAGTCCAGGAGAGGCCCATTCCAGATCTCCACATGTAGCTATTTAAAATGACCAAGACCAGTGTTGGGAATATTTTACAGGATGTAGGTCTTTGTGTAACCATTACTAGATCCAACAGGATTAAAAACTTACCTTTAGATCTCGGTGGACTATATGCTTCTGATGGCAGTACTGCACAGCAGACACAATCTACAAGAGATGACAAGATGCAGGTCAGGTCAGAGACGTGGGACTTTCAAGACTCAGGAAGGGGTGGAATCACTACCTTAATATAAACACTGTAGTGAAAACCTTATCTGCCTCACCCTTACTTTTCAGCTAATCCTTAATTTCACTTTTACAGTAGCAAAAGAACATTACGGGCAAGTACAACAAGCAGACCCATTTCAGGGAATTACATCTCATTTCCAAGTATCGGTTTTCCCTGAACCCACTAATGAGATCAAAGGAACTATAGATTCAACACAAGCTCCCAAAAAACAAGATGCCCTGTGTGAAGGCGCATGAGGTGACTGGCCTTAGACAATGGCTCACGACAGATTTTTTCCAAGAAACCGACCAGCCCTGACTTTGTCAGTCAGTGGCATATCAGGCTAGCTAAGCGACACCCGCTGAACTCAGCCTTGTTGGAGTCGAATAAGGAACATCTAACATTAACTTTGTACTGAATTAGATGATGCTCCGATGCTAAAGCCCGTTAGCTTGTTTTAAACGACTCGGGTACGGCTGGATCAAGGGTCTCACTTCAATACCAGAACCACGCAGCTTTCTAAGAGCACAGCAGAGTCCCACACAGACAGGACTGCTCTTGATCTTTTTATAGATTACATTTCAGTTGGACTGCACAGGGCTTGAAGAGGTGGGGCTGACTGGCTTTACATTGTTTTTACCCAAGTCTGCCTCCTTATCTACACGCCGCCACCATCATCACCTGTCTCACCTGCTTTTCACCCCATGCTGCCCGTGGCTATTTACCATTAACCCGGAAAATCCACACCCCTGGAGGAAGCCGCTGTCAATCATAGGTATCGAAGTGGTGTGACCAGCTACAGAGGGGTCACATCACCTTCCCATGTCAGGCCATGTGGGCATCGCCCCAAACACATCTGTACAGGCAGGCAGGGGGGGGGGGGGGGGGCATGCCCAGACACACCCCTCCCTCCAGCCCATGGCAGTGTTCAGGGCTAAACCCAATGTCTGTTCAGACATGAAGCTCCTTGAACTCTGCCCAAACATGATGCAGGGGGAAAAAAAACAAAAAAAAAAAAATGACAAAGCCTTAATCGAGAACATTCAGCAAAGCAGTGGGTGGGGCTGCAGAATGTAGATGGAAGGTTAAGGCAAAGAGCCAATGAGAGACCAGATCACATCACTGTGTGCATTTTTCCTAAATATGCTGGATGACTGACTAAGGTAGGGAGCTAATTCCCAGTCAGCACAATGAGTAACATGTAAAATAGGGTGCAGCTCTCCACATCTGGCCACCTCAGACATTATTGGATGTTTGCCTCACATGTATGACTGTATATTTGTACACCTGCCCTTCCCCACCCCATGTGTGCGTGTGTCATGATACAATATTTATTTAAGGACATGCACAAGCACACAGAGACCCAACAAGCGAGACACACAAATCTGTGCTACCATCTTTGTGGGGACTTCATCAGCTGACATGGGCAATATTACCTCCTGATTACAAACAAATAACTCAAACAGATGAGAAAAACACAAATAGCTTTTTTATGGCCGTCCTCAAAGCATCTTTAAGTAGTTAATAACACTGAGGGAACACGCTCTCAAAATCTCTAACTACAAAGACAGCACCCCCCCCTCCCCACCCCCGACAGACACAGGCCTGTCTTGGCGGGTTCCTCTGACAATGTCGTGCGGCATGCTGGTCGTCCCGGAGAGTGCAGGGTATTGACGGGACACTGACATATGGCTGGGTGCGAGCACTGCGGTACCTGTCTAAATTTAGCCCTGGCCTCTTTTTCCTTCATCCTTCCATGCGCTACGAGGTAGTCGAAGACCTCGCCTGCAAAAGGAACACAAAACAACAACTGGAAAAAAAAAAAGAGTAACAGCCAACAAGGTACGAATCAAAACCGCACACAGACACACAGGCATCAGGGAAAAGCAACACAACTCTGATAACTGGAGATTCTGCCCCAAGTAACAACTGTGCCACTTTGCTCCTCCTGTGGGGTGTTAAAATGATTCCGAGCTGGTCAGCAGAACCGGGCAATGTGCACTTGCATTAAACTGATCCTCTCATCCAGTAGTCCCAGACTGACAGTTGTCACTGCACTGCACAGTTTAGAAGTCCCTATGGTTTCTTTTTACTATAGCGGGTTTGAACAGATAGACCTGCCCCCCCCCCCCAACCACCACGCCATGGCAGGGCTCTAAGGTAGCTTCGACCGCCATTACAGGCATGAGCTACACGATTAACAGGACACGGCTATATGCCGTCATAATACACTGCTCACTGATTGGTCAAAGGAAAAACAGAAACAAGTAATGGCACATGACCTTCAGATTTTTCTAGGCAGAAGCAGTGCCAATCAAACCATCAGTGGCTTGCTAGGGCACGAACTTCAGAGAGGTGCCAACCTTAGCCAGCACTTGTGCTAACCGTTGATTTTATTAGTTGAACAGACATTTTCACACAAAAGCTAACAATAAGCAGTGACTAAGTCAAAATCATATTTGCATCATTTATATCATATTAACACATGGGTAATAAAGCTGCGTCAATAATTATAAACAGAATTAGACCTCAATAATATAAACTGTGGCTTTGATGGGAGATGAGAAAATAAAGAGAAAGGAAAAATATGCCCAATATCAATATCTGAATTTTCCAATGATGTTGTGTCTGCTGAGCTGTCTTTCTTCACCGCTACTTGTTCTTCTCGCTTCCATGATATGCCAGAACAGTAGTATGTGGCGCCCTCCACTAACCGAATTTAATAAATACAAGGATTCACTGAATTTATACAGATTAATACATTTTGGGTGTCACATTACGCTTCTCATTAATATTTTAGGCATACTTCTAATCCGCTTACCAAATTGTGGCCTTAAATATTTGTATAGTACCAAAAAACTGATGTCTGGACAAATGTTTATGCTTATCATATAAAGCCCTGATGATTATTGTGCATGCGCCATATATTCGCAATTATATCGTGATGTGATATCGTGCAGCCTACTCCCATCTTTTGTGCATTGATTGTGGCCTTGGTGGTACTAGGCCGCAGGAAGCGTTGCTGGTGAAGCTCGACTATGGAACCACATAACCAAAGCACACATCAGCAGATCTCCTCATAACTCCTTAACACCCGAGCTGATGTGGAAAACAGAACCTGAATGAAGAACAGAGACAGAGAAAGACAACGGAAGCCCCACGTGACTTCAGGGTAAGAACCCACAATAGTGTGAGTCCATGTCCAATTCTAACCCTGTTGGACTCTGCTCACTCACCTCCACTAGCATACTCCATAACCAGGTATAGCGTCTTCTCCGTCTCGATGACCTCAAACAGTTTAACTGAGGAATAACAAGAGGAGAGAATGTGTTGAGTGACATAACTGTGACATAATTTTTCATTTTGCAATCCCGTCACCCCTTAAACACATACATACATGCTGTCCTGGTAGCATATACAGGAAATGGAAATGAAGATTAAAGTAAAGCATGAAACTATGGGTACAGCTGGGAAGACATCAGTGAAGTGTGGCTTGTCTGTGTTTGGGTTATTTTTAAGAACGTGGATTAGACCTTTCAGAGGCTTTTCCCCGAGATGACAGACAGCCGGCAAAACACTCTGACACACAAAGCAGGTGACAGTCACTCTCCAAATGGGAGCAGCAGGCACTCAAACTGCTCACACGGGTAATAAGGAACCAGATAGAAATTGCACAAATGGAACAGTATGAGGTTCAGTTGTTGGTCTCTGGGGAGAAGGTCTCTGGTTAAAACAGCTTTTAACAAAACAAGTTTTGATGCTGTTCATTTACCTTTGTGTACTGAGACCCAATGAGAGACAGCGCTTGACTCTCGAGAAGCAAGGGGAGAAAAAAAAAGACCTAGACTTCCCATCCAGGATCTAGCTCCTGTTCCCTAACCCAGAGACCCCTGATCCTCTCCCAAACATCAGGATCTTCACAGGCTGGTTCTCTAGGACAGTGTTTCCCAGTCCAACCAGTGAGGGCCAGCAGACAGTTCAAGTTTATGCTCCCTACCAGGACTGTCTGGCAGGGAGATGGGAGGAAGCAAAAATTTGAACTGTCTGTGGGTCCCTGAAGACCCGGTTGGGAACCATTGCTATAGAAGATTCCTCCACAGGCCAGCTGTGCTTAATATAGTCAGAATCTCCAATGTCAGGTCACATCATAAATTGTATAATGATACATTTTATTTCTGTAAATCTGTCACAGCTAAATGTCATTCCAACATGGTATCCTTGTGTTTGGATGCAGAAAGGGCTTCAATTATACATATAACTAGTCCGATAGCTACAAAACATGGGATTCCTGTGACACACACCAGTTTTTATGCTTCCAAAATCATGAAGTGGTAACTTCTATGCTTAGACCCAAGAGAGCCACTCACCTATATTCGGATGATTTAGAATCTTCATAATTCTTACTTCCCTGAAGAGCTGGGGGGGAAAAAAAGCACATTTATACCATCAAGTCAAAAAAGAACAAATCATATGTAAACACAGTCTTCACCCATTAATAATGTCAGTATCCCTAAGCAACCTTCTTCGGCATCAAGTCTGCTTAACACGCCTCGGTCCAAAGCAACAGAGCAACATACAGTGTTTCACATTCTTAGACAGAGAAAGGCCAGAGTGCACAGCAGACTTCCGTCTCAACAAACACACCCCATGAAACACCTGCACCAACTCTCATCTTTCCCCAATACCATGATCAAATGATACACAACAGGACAGTGGAAAACATCTCTGACCCTTATGTACAGCACAACATGTGCAAAAACAGTCCAAGTGACACAGAGCCTCCAATGATCCTCACTAGCAACTTAACACTAGACAAGCAGAGGTAGGTGCTGGTGACAGGCCCTGTAGAAGACAGTAATCACAACCATGAAGTTCCCACTAGAGGCCCACAAGTTTATTCCCATAATCAGGGATTTACATAACTGCTAGGCAAGAAGGCATGCACAGCATAACACGATATGCACAGCATAGAGCGATATGCACAGCATTTTCTTGTCATAACAGTGCGAATGTCTACTTATTTAATGTGAATTTTCAATGCTCTAACAAAAAATAACTTCAGACGGTGAACGTGATTCTGCACCAGTTATATCAGTCTCTGCCCATAAAGACCATAAAGCAGTCAATATATGCAGACTGTACCATACGTACCGATACTGACCCCTGACCACTTTAAGTTACCTATGACATGGACCTAAACAAAGGTCGTGTGACCTGGACTGGAAAAACACATCGCTGAGTTCGGCTCTAGAGAAGAGATCTCGTGACCTGAATACCGGCAGCACTCTAAGTGTGGGTCAGCAGAGTCATCTTTCACAGCACTGCTGAAGTGACGTCAATCAAATCAGAGAGCGCAGCCTTTCAGATGGGCTTGACCATCAGCAGCTCAGGCTTACATCGCCCTTATGTATGAAAGTCTGTCAGCAGTTTCCAAAGCACATTAGCAGGAGCAATGGACAACTCCCATCACAGTTTTATGCTAGTCACTAATGCTTCTGAGCAATCAATAGATGGAAAGGAAATTTTTAAAGTACCAATTTGTTCACGTCTTCTGGCATTACTGGACCACACTTGGCTTTATGAGATAGCAAAGGCCTCAAACAGCAGTAAGACAGCCAACATTTCAACAAAGAGTTGGAGGTAGGTACTTCCTCCATAGAGGCATCAAATCATCCATGAATATGGCTCAAATTTACAGACAGCCATCAAGCTGTCTTGTTATTACCTCACTATTGCATCATTTGAAGAAAATCAATGGTCATTCGGACATGTTTTAATATGTGGGTTAATGTTCTAAGGGCCTAACACAACATGGGTTTTTATGTTCAGGATCGGGTGTGAGGGTTCAGGTTGGAACCTGTTCCTGTGAAGTTCTTCATTCAGCAGGAGACAGAAACACACCAAATGGGCACCTCCTGCTGTTTATTTGATCAATTCTGAAACCTAAGTGCTCTTTATTATCGATGTCCTCCAAAAAAAAAGAGAAAAATCAGGAAAAAACAGTTTAACTTGCAGTAAAGCAAGAATGAGCCAGTTTCCCTAATGCCTTACCATGAACATTATCAGCAACCCACACGTCTTTCCCAATTGCAAGAGTCAGGTGATGCTGGGAACTCAGCCAAGCCATGACGCCTCCTTAATCCTCCACGAAGGACTTCTACCAGAACTAAGTGAGAGTAGCATCACAGTTTCCACAACCTGGTTTTCATATACAGGACTATCACCTTCCACAACCGTGTAGCTCCAAATAATTTAATGTTCAATTCTGCTACCACACACAAGCCTCAAGATGGAAGTTTTTACAGGTTGTTCAGTTTTGATCCAGGTGTATGACAACTGTTAATGATATGGTACATGTCTGTACCACAACAAGGTCCCACCCAGTTGTTGGTTTCTGACAGTGCTCGCAGCAGTACAAGGCAAAACGTCAAACTGAATACAATTTTTAATAGATATTTATACAACTTCTACAGGTATTGCAAATATGTGCTTATTTTATATATAAATGAACTCACTAGGATTCAAAAAGAGTTCTCAAGCCTACAGTAGGGAGACATACTAAAAAATGATAATCTGCTTAAGGCTGGACGTGGACTTGCCACTGTGTGTGTGCAATTTTCGTTACTGATGTCGAGACAACATTGGGGGCACACACGAAAGCGCATACCACTTGAAAAATTGAAAGACGATGGACAGTCCGTTCAGTAACCAAACACAAGTCGATTGTTGATTGACCAGAGTGAAAACAAAATATGGCTTGGGGTTTGCTGAAGAAATCTGGAAATACTGGTATTTATACAATTCCTAACTACAGGATTATACAGCTGCATCGTTATATGTCTACATATGTCTATGTGCTATAGGGCTACCCTAGGCCTGGTGTCAAAGTACAAGGTTGCCTGGCTCTTAGGTGCAAGAACTATGAACATTCAGGATAGCAAACAGTCCAGCAGTACAACACACATGCTGTCGTGTGGCTGTTTCCATAGTAAGCAAGAACCAGACCTTAGGATTAAAATTAAATACAGATGCCCCTTGCTTTACGATGGTTCGACTTTACAATGGCGCAATGGTGATGCACAATAAGTAGTCAAACTCCAAATTTTGATTAGTTCGCAGTGTAGAGACATGCACCACAATTCTTTTTATGCAGAGTGAAGGCTGCATCCACCTGGCTAAGTTTCCTGTCTCCGCAGTGATCACAAGCCGAAACATGTACATGCCATACAGTGATCACAAGCCGAAACATGTACATGCCATACAGTGATCACAAGCCGAAACATGTACANGCCGAAACATGTACATGCCATACAGTGATCACAAGCCGAAACATGTACATGCCATACAGTGATCACAAGCCGAAACATGTACATGCCATACAGTGTTTAGCAACGCATCGTACGATTTTCCCCGTGTTTAACCAATTTTTTACAAGACCATTAAACGCCCATATCTGTCATATCATACCCATATTCATATTCAGCTTACGATATTTTCAATATACGATGAATACATCGGAACATAAGCCCCATTGAAATGGAGGAGTATCAGTATTCACCCAACTTATGATCCATTACAGTCCTAACTAAAATAAATTCAGTTTAACTATACTGCAGTGAACAGAAGTTAAAGTCCAGAACGCAGCTATTTAATTCAATTAATTGCATCAATTAATAGCTCAGTCCACAGAAAACCAAATAACTGCTGAGCTAGAAAAAACAATTCAGTTCAAACAGTGTACTGCCAAGATTAAGACTGACATCAATGGACAAATTTGTGTTACTGGCTACTTCTCACCCATTTGATGATGGGATACAACTCCAGGGACCTTTTTTCTGTCTAAATCTATGCCAGCATACAAAATCAACACCTTATCATGCCGGACAGGTTGTGCCCCAGCAGGGTCTGACAGATGCTAAAATACCTTATTCACACCCAAGACTGAAGACAAAGTGACTGCTGAATCTGAACAGAAGTTCAGCAAGAGTCAATCAAGATGGTGCACTCTTCAGGAAAGACACAGCAGGGGCAAACGTACCACTAGCTGTGGCAACTTTCAGCTTGCCACCACCGAAGAAACACTTCTAGTGATGCAGAAAACTCCCAAAATAGTCTTTCACAAATACGTGCATATTTCAATGTGGCCAGGTTACGCTTAGATTCAACCAGACGGAAGTGAAAGCAGTAGCCAGCGCTACATTCAGAGACTGACAAGATGGAACTGCCGTGTGCTTGGGAGTGTTTGTACCCCTGCGTTTTTCCTCCTTCCTCAAAAGGCACTCATTGTGAACCAAACCCTACCATGCCCTACCATTCAGCAGCATGGCAGTCTCCCGTGCAGGAGCTGTCGTAGACATATTAGGTTTCCGTACATGAGCGGACACACCGGTCTATTTATACTACCAAAAGGGAAAAAACAGATTAGATGTATCAACTCAACCTACAAAACAACCAACTTAACACCCCCAGCAAAGCCTTAAATGCTTGATTCTAAATTTGTTTAGAACAACGGAAGCTGCAGCATACAGCGATGAGTAGCAGCAGTAACAGACATCAGCAGACATGCCCAATCCCAACCCCCGTCGGCCAAAAACTAGAAATCTCAGGCTATTAAAACTGAAACAGGAAGTGGCCTCCAGACAGACAAATAGCATCCCTTACTAAACATACAGTAAACAGACACCCGATGCCGGAACTGCAGGTGTCTTGGCTGGCTGCAAACAAGCTATGGCTATCTGGCTTGGTGTGTTTCTAGAGAAAGTGCCAGCATGCTGGCAATACCAAAGAGAGTTGGCCTCAAGACAGGCTGCACCAGGCAATCAATGAAGAGGACATTCATGATGCGCCCACCACACGCTCAACAGTAATACGTTGCCGCATTACCACCCACATGCAGTTCGCCTTCGGCAGAAAGCAGCGCGCTAACAGAGCACCAGCACTTCCTGGGAGGCACAGTGTGTTCCGACACAGGGCACTTCCACGTCCTCCCAAATTTCACACCGCTGCTACAGGAAGAGGGATGCACAGGGTCAGAACAGCCCCAATCCTTTGCTTTGTCCTCCAGCATGCAGGCACATGGGGCAAAGGTAACTTAGCATGTTCAGGGTGCAGTGGAGCACACGGTACGGCTGGCACACCTCACTGAATGCTGCTCCCACATCCAGACAGGTCAGGCAGGGAGTGCTCCTACTGTCTGGGAAAACAGGATGCTCTTAACTGCAATAACTGTAGAAGTAGGAACATCAGGACATTCCAGTGGGGGGAACGGGGGGATTAATATAAGTTTCCTGAGCCGTTTACACTCCCTTTAATATTATATACAAAAACAACCCCCCCCCCCCCCCCAAAAAAATAAAATAAAACAAAATAAAAAAAAAGTTACACCCCAGGCGCCATTTCAAAACACAGGAAACCGC